AGGAATTCAATTTGCAAGGTTTTGTCATAGACATCCTTGAAATCTGGCTCCAGTGTGTCTATAGTGTGCCAAGGAACATTAGAACCGCTGCAAGGGTGCAGAATATCTGTATAGTTGCCTGGAATTTCAGAAAATCCGTCAACTTTGTATAGGTGTCATAGGTGAGCTGGACCAGAGCCACCAGCCTTTTGTCATCAGAAACAGTTCCCTAACAGAAAACATAACCTTGGGCATATGTCTCTCAATACTTCCTTTCTTTGTCCTCTTCTGTGGATGCAAAGTTTCTTTTTTCTTCCTCTATTAATTAGAGCTGAAATGGTAGATATAAAACCAAGATATCCCCCCAAGCTTTAGAATAAAGCAATTTTAAAACTGTGATCTACTCCTGTATAGACTGTTAGAAACAGAGGGGCTTGTAAGATAGAAAAAAAAATGAACTCTGAGATATCTTAAAAAAATCTGGTGTAAACCTAGTATAAAGCAAAAAGATAGAGGACAATAACCCAGCCTAGAACCGCCATCACACTCTTCTTCCCAGACAAGCTCCTTTTCACTGCCCATGGATCCCAGCAGGACTGGTCCTGACACCTGGTCCTCTCATAAATGCCTGAGATAGGAAAAAAACTAAAACGTTTTGAGGTAGGTCTCAGTGAGACTGTAGTTGATGAAAGCCTGAAAAGGAATTAGTGAGGCTGTTAGTGAGGCTGGAAAGACTAGAAAAAATGGAAGGAATAGATGGAAAGATTGTGATACTGGGAGAAGAGAGGCTAAGGACAGCGTAGGAAGAGCTTGGGTCAGCAGAGGGAGATATTAACTGTAGGTAGCTCTCAAATGAAAAGATAAGAATAATTCGGGTACCTGAAAAGGGTGAGAGGGTCAGGCAGGATGGGGGTAGACCTGGGTGCCCCATGGACTGGTGGCTTACGAAACTGAGAGCTGAGAACTTTGTGAGGAACAAGTTAAGTAGTCTGTGAACTCTGTTTTTGTTTTTTCAAAAATAAAGTAGCCCTAATCCCAGACCTACAACCTCCTGAGTCATTATTTCTACCACCTGCAAGTGGAGCAAGACCAGACTTGCGAGCCCATTCTTGAGAACAGCTCACATACAACAGCAACCACCACTCATAACACAAACATCAAATTCATATTGATACTAAGCTTTTGGCTTTATTATTCTGTTTGTTTTGAGGGTCAATATTTGTCTGACAGACTTATGATAGAAACTTGTATGATAGGAACTGTCAAGTGGGCTGAATAGAGATTTTTCATGTAACTACAGTGTCAAGGAAATATCTCAGGAGGAGCTCAGCTTTGCAGATGCAAGACCCACTGCTTTACACAGGCCTGTGATCCTTCCTATTATCAGATTGTAGGATCCGAGCTAAACCCTCACCTGAGAGGCTTGCCGTGTGCTTTTGTAAAAGGAACTTTTTGGTATGAGGGCTCTTGCCCTTCTCTGTTAATACTCAGTACTTAAAGGGCTTGTGCTTTAACAGCTTGTACTTAAATGGCTGTTTCAGCCCCAACAGTTTCTCTGAGCTACACCTGTCTCACCTGGCCTCTAGAAACAGCATCAGGAACACACAAGGGAGAGCTTAAAGTTACAATTACTCATCTTTCCTGACAGGTTCTGCTGTGACCATAGCTCTGGAAGACCTAAAAAATTAATCAGATGGCTGTCTCAGCCTGATTGCTTTGTAACTTTAATTACACAGCAGTTATCCATCAGAATCACTTCAGCTAATCCATAGTAACATCCAACTTGACAGAAAAGACTGTCTGTGGCATGTTTTGAAAATTTTAAGACCAAGTCTCAGAAATGAGTAAAACTGTCCCATTCAGCACCTATGATTAACTATGTTTAAAATGATGCCCATGACTCTGTTGTCAAACCATATGATTTATCTTAAGGGTAACTCTTTCACTTCAGTGTAACAAAGCATTCAGATAAACGAGGATAATCAGTATTTGAAAGCACATCTCAGTATTTTATTTTATATGATACCTTTAAAAGAGGCCCTGGATGACAGGTTGACACCACCAGGCTTTATGGGGAAGGGAAATACCAAGACTGGTATTGTTACGGCTGCCTCTTTGGTTTCACTTTTCAGGAAAGGTAGAGCCCTTTGCCCACTACTTTAAAAAGTTGATGTTTTTTCCTCGTACTCTTCAATATAAATATTACAAGTAAAAGCCAGCGTCACTTTTGGAGATAAACACAGTGTGTTGTTCTCATAACATGATTTCTTTAAAACAGATATAAAAGATGCTGCACTTTGAATGGGTCTTCTGTCTGTAATTCTTGGCATGTTGCATAAGCTGCCATCAAAGGATTCATTTATGAATGATCTACAGGATCTAAGCACTAATGAAATGTCAAGTAATGAATTTCTGTATAATAAATTACATCATAAAAATGTGGCAAATATGATGCTGCCTAGTAAGACATCTATAGACCTCAGGCTTCATTTATCATACACTGGTACTTAACATGTGTTTGATTACTGGGCAAGCTGGTAAATAATAGTACCAAAACATGAATATCAATTTTCATTAAAGAGTTATAGCAAGTTGTAAAGAATAAGAAGGCTGCACAAATACAGATTCTCGGTACCGGAGCTACTCACAGTGCTGGAGAGGACGTGTATAGTGTTAGGAGGGGGAGACACAGAAAACTCTTTGTACTTTTGAGGCTCATTAAGAATTATGGTGAAAATAAAGCATTTCATTTCAATGTCAGGAATAAGGCTTTTGTCTTTAAGACACCATACTTTGTGGAGGAAAGGGTATCATTAGCATTCTGGGCAGCCTAGGATTGTCTTAAACTAAATAATCTGAGTGCCCTATTCAGATGTAACATCCAACTCAAAGCCATTCAGAAAAGGAAGCTGGATGGTCTCCAATACCTCCTAATGCACAGGCTCTGAGTGACATTCCCAGGCAAGTTGTTGAAATGAAAGTTAACACCTTGGAAGACAAGGCTGCAGAACCACCTGAATCCCAAATGAAGTTCTCCCAGCTGCATCAACACGCAAGGGGCAGGCTGGAGATACCCTCAGATTTCTGGTCTGAGATTCACCCTCAGGGTGTTTTTGGGATAGACCTTATCCAGCTCAAGGACCATAGGTACTGGCAAAACAGGGTGGGCGACTCAGCAGCTAATTGCAAGTGCTGCCTCCCTTTTCAGGCCCAGACTGCAGCAGGGCCAGATGCCAAGTACAGTGATCAAACCAACTTTCCTGTCTCTGAAAATGTGCCTTATTTACACAGTGAGTGCAGCTGGGGCAACTCGACAGTTTTCTTTTTCCTCTTTTACCTCTCCAAATACCTACCTTTGCAGTTGGTATTCTCTTCAGAGCTCTTACATGACTAGAGAATGAGAGTTTTTTGTTACAAAAAGAAAGCTCTAACTATTCATTATCATGGAAAATATTGGTGTTCATATACTAAACATTTAGTGGATGTAAACATTTAGTGGCTCCCTTTTTTTGCACTCTTCAGGATTTTCCAAAGCAAATACCATCACTCTCGTGTGTGCTCAAATAGGTCAATTGATGTTCTTTAATTTTCTCCATATTTTTATGGATTACGATAAGAATTTTACTCATGAATCAAAGATTAAAGTACTAATGTTTGCAGGCTGAGAAAAGGACATGGACCTGCTTAATCCAGTCTATGAATTATATGTACGTAAATTTGCTGGTTTCTCTAAACAATTGGAATTGCCTTTTTCTGGTCTTTCAGGAACTAAAGAAGTAGTGGTTGATGTAGATGATAATGGAGTCATTTCCTTGAACTTTGAATGCGATCAAATGTCTCCAAACTCTAAGTTTGTTTGGTCCAAGAATTATGAACCAATTGAAGATGACTCTCGACTGGACATTGACACAAAAGGCGGAAAGTAAGAACCCTTGGTGGTAAAGCTAGTCTTGGTTTTGCAAATTGTAGGCTGGCTATAGAAATTCATGCTTTAGGATAAGAATTAAATGTGCCTTTGATGCTAGTAGGTTGCTTTATGCGGTTGCTGTTCTCCTGCAAGTCCATCTGCAACCATTTGGAAATTGTAGCTCACACTGAATGAGTCAGGCCTTTTGTAAGAGCAGAGCTTCACAGGGAGAGTATATGTGCCCTGTCATCTTGTAACCTGTTAACCAGGGCAGACTTATTATTATGAGTCTCCAAAGGCTAAAATTGTCTGGCTGCTTGCAAAATGCTTCTATTGTGTAACACTTGCAATTTTCTGAGGTGCTGGAGTAAGCACTACTCTATTTTGAGCATGTCTTCATGTCCTAGATTTGCTAACTTTTATAATTCTCTGTAAATCTTATCTGTTTCTTCAGACATTCGTCAGAGAAGAATAAATGGCAAATGCACATGTTCAACCTACAGAGTAGCCATATGTCTTGCCCCTTACAGAAACCATACAGAAAGTAACAGCTCACAACACTCTCTTAATATTCCATATGAAAATTGTATCACACACTCATTACACTCATGAATGCAAAGTCATCAAAGATGTGGCAAAATATTCTTAAAGGCCTGCTTGAGCTAGCTTAAACTGTCTAGCTCCAGTATCTTCAGTGCTGTGAGTTTGTATGGCTTCTTGGAAAAGCTGAGCGGCTTGGGCCCATCTCTGTGATGCTTCCCCAGCAGAGGCAACCCCTTCACTCTCGTGATGTCTTGGATGTTCTTGGTTCCCTCTCCACTCTCTTCTTCACTGACAGGATCCACACAGTCTGGAAATACAGGCTGTGTTGCCTCCTTTTGCAGTGCAAATGGCAGGATGCTCCTCAGGGCCCCATACTTTTCTGGTCAAAGCAAAGGAACACAGGAATATTTTTATCTAGTGCTAGAGACATAAAGGAGGAGGTTAGTTCAAACTGGTCTCATCTTTTGATCAAAATGTTTCTTTTTGAAGGTCAAAAGCTATCTTTAAGGACCTTGGAGAAGAAGATTTGGGAATTTATTCTTGTGTCGTTACAGACACTGATGGAGTTTCATCAAGTTACACGATTGATGAAGAAGGTAAAAACTATCTCTGTTAAGCATGCTTATTTTGTTTTCATGCCTGGTTTTCCTGCTGTAGTTTCAGGCTTATATTCATATTAATTATTTTACAATATTCATAAAAACTATTTTATGTATTTTGCAGAAATGAAACGTCTTCTTGCTCTGAGCCATGAACATAAATTCCCAAGTAAGTGAATTGAACATATCTGTAGAGGAGAGGTTTACGTGCATTGGGGTATGTATCACAAAACTCCTGTCAGCATCAGGTAGAGAAGTTTCTACAGCAATTTCAAACTAAAGCATGTTTTGAATTGCAAATCTAAGATTCCTCTTTTTTTTTTTTTTTCTTTCTTTCAGTACATTTGTGTATTATTGATGCTCTTTCTGCTCTGTGGCATGTTACTGTCTAGGTATATATATCGTAAGTCTATATATTAGAAGGGAAATAAGTATCCTGTCGTGTTTGTTTCTTCCGCACAACAGCCGTTCATTATTACTCAGAATACCTAAACTGGTTTGAGAAACTGTAAATTCTGCCCCTTTACCTTTACTCTAAACTGATGTTAACATAAGTTCAAGAAAAGCAAAGCAAACATTTGTAGAAAACTCAGCTCTAAAGATATATATATACAGCCATTTTTCTTTTGAAATTAATTCCCTCCTTCTTTTCTGTAACATTTTACAATCTGAACATCTTGTTTGCTGAGATGGCAATTTCCTTAAGTCCACAGAACTCCTACACTTTTATGTTGTCCTTGTGATAGTGCAACTTTTAAAATTTCAGCAGAATGTAACTTGAATAATTGAAATAATAATAAATTGAATAGTCGAATGAATCCTGTTACATACAGCTAGATGACGTCTAAATCTTATCTTTTCCTACTATATCTTCTTCTTCTTTGTCATTCACTACACTAAAATTCTTGCTTATGTTTTAATGTCTTCAGTTTTGTGCATGCTTTCCTGGAACCTCTGCCGATTCAGCCCACTTTGCACCTCTCCAGTCCAGTTAAAACTTGGCCCTAGAAGTTGCCTGTCATTTTGTATCATCTCTCTTCCTCATTTCCTTCTGCAGCTTTTCCGTATCAGCTTTATTCCTCTAAACATATTGTATCACCTTCTGACAGCTTAATGACAGCCAAAGCGTCACCTTGCTTACTCCTGCTCCTCCCAGGCTTTTCCTTCTAATTATGTCTTTAAACTGAAAGTTACTCATCACAAACCCTCTTGTTGCCTCATGTGCTTACTTGCCCTGACCCTTCTCTGCTGAGGGCTCTTCCATACTCTGTATCCATAGCTCATGCCACAATCTAAGTTCCTTAGGACACAGATTGTGCCTTTTTTTTACATAGTAGGTACATTTCTAGCTGTATATTGAGTAGTCAGGAGAGTTCCCAAAAGAACCCAAGAGTTCCCAAAAATGGGAACTCTTGAAAAAATTATCAAAACATTTAAAGGAGAAAACTGTCTTAACTTGATTTGAACCTTCCAGGCACCGTGGACACTACAAAACGAATCAATTGCAAACAGAGGTTGGGGTATGTCTGGCTATGCCTATGAGGTTGGAAAAATCATGAGTTCCTGTCAGTTGACAGGGATTTTTAGTCATATCTCTGGATAATCTGTTTGAGCATTACCAAAATTCTCTACAAAAAAAGAGAAAGATTAGTCATAGGCATTTCTGATTAAACAGAAGCACTTGCATGTATGTTTGTTTGTATATCTGATCTGCTTTTAATTGTAGTTTAGGCTTAAAAACACCTGCAGCTGGCACCTTCCCTGGAAAATGGGTTGCCTGAATAATCCAGTCTTAGAGAATTCAAGGACATGTGAAGGCAACAATGTATTAGTATTAGATAAAAGATAAATTGTTCCAGATCTTCAATTTGGTAGCTGCCTGAGGACATTCTGCCAAGTCCATGTGGTAATTTGTGATGTTGTACCAATACAAAAAGCATCTATAACCTTGTAAGCATGATGGCTGGAAAGTCCCTGAGTAGTTGTCAATTGGTGCTTAAGGAAATAGAAATACTTTAAAATGAGACTTTTGCTTGCAGAGGGCTGGTCTCTCAGATTAGTCTGATTCCTTTGGACTTTAAAATGAGACTTTTGCTTGCAGAGGACTGTTTGCTCAGATTAGTCTGATTCCGTTGGACTAGGGGCACGAATGATCTTTCCTCAAAGTGAATCCTTTTACATCCTTTCAGCCCTATTGTAACAG